AAACACGTGATTAGCAAAACATGGTTAAAATGTTGTGCATCCAGGTGCTAGCACTGCTATGTGGTAAAGTATTTAATGTTTTTTTACGTTTAATTGCCATCTCATTTAGTTACCCGTCGGATTACTAGATCATTTGTTTTCACGTGATTTTGGCATGAATGTGTCTTGAACAAAACAATCGGCACATGGTCCGTCTGTTACACTCGGGGTTGTTCCAGGCGTCATGAAGCACTGAAGTGTTAAAAATAATAATAACACTGTATTAAATATTAACTCTGATTACAATGTAATTTGCTGTGGAATAGTATTGGTGTCGTTTATGCTTCAAATAGGCTTTTATCATGAATGAATTATTTCTTAATATTTGTTTTAAGCAATGATTCTTTCATTCTTGCAAAATTTATTTTTTATATTCTTGATGTTTAAGTTCTAAATATTTTTGTTGTTATTGACCATTTTCTTTGGTACGATCCAAATAAGAAATTCTATTCTATTCTATTCTATTCTGTTCTGTTCTGTTCTGTTCTGTTCTGTTCTGTTCTGTTCTGTTCTGTTCTATTCTATTCTATTCTATTCTGCTGGCGGTTCTACAGGGGCGCTTGCAACAGGATTTATGGTTAAGGGAGATAGGATTGGGTAGGGTTATATACTAGTATAGAAATAAAGACAGGGTATGAAACATCCGCACTTGGAATCACTGTACACCAAACAAATATGGCTGGTTCGTGAATAAACTCGCACACTACACTCACCAAAAAAGCAATCTACTTGACTATCAGACTCTTATTTATCCAATTTTGTCATACGTTTGTAATAGTTTGCCTGTAAATTCACAAAAAATGATAATTTCTGGCGCTGTCGAGCGTCGAGACATGAAAAACACAACTACTCCCTGACAAGCTCCGCCCATCGAACGCTCATTGGTGGAAAGAACTCAGGTCAAAGGGTCACACTCTCGCTCACCTCACCGAGGTATATCACCCTATATATAATCAAAAGGTGACTTGTTTCGTTGACAGTGGTTGGTGCTCTCTCTGCTTTGTCGCAAGTCTGGCATCTCGCCGTTGATGCTTAATAATTAATTAATTAATTTCACCGACATATTGATTTTTGCCGCCCTTATTGTCAAGCTGCAAATCTTCTTGTATGCTCATTTAATCCATTATTATGCCACCAGTTAATCCACATTCCAGTACACGTCGTTGTCCACCTAAACACATATGGGTTGAATCCAGGCCTTTGATTTATGACATTTTTATACATCATTAACAACCTCGTGGACAGCAGAATCAAGTATTTGTTGTCAATGGTATCCTGGTAACCTTGTGGACCCCTGCACCAAAGTTGAATTGCAAACTGGATTCTTGCCCTGTCTCACTACGTTCTTTGGGTTGCACTTTATACTATTATTGATTATTGAAGTCAATAACGAACGCATGTTTGAATCACCGTTCGGTGCTATTATGTTTAACACACCCCTTACATTCATTTCCGAAACGACACATTTTTTTTCTTTCAGGGCTAGGCTCATCTAAAGTTGTCTTTCGTTTTTGGCCGGTAGCTCTTCTGATAGTAGAACTTTGCCTATGATAATATGCAACAACACTTTGAACAG